ACAACATATTGTCTTTATCATTCTCATAGCATATGATAGATGTACAATAATTAATTAGAATACTTGAACCTAGCTCTCTCCCTCTCTCTCTCTCTCTCTCTCTATATATATATATATATATATATATATGTATATATGAAACATATTTGGTCAAACGCTTAAAATTAAGTCGTACAAACCTTAATGAAATATGTACAATCAATTTATGCATGTAGAAACTGTAAATATTATCCGGTTAACAAGTCAAAAAGTCAAGGATCAGATTTTGAAAATTTTAAAATTTAAGATAAGATTGACTATGTCTATCTCATTTCAAAATTCAAATTTGTTTATTCTTATCCATTAAATATCGAATTTGATTCTTATACCTTAAATATTGAATATGATTCTTATCCTTTAAATATCGGATGTGAAGCTATCCGAACTCATTCTTCTCTTATTTTCTACTCTCACTTTCTTTCATCACATCATAGTCGACGAAAGAAAACTCTAGCTCTCACCACCATATCCCACTTTCATTTGTCCAAACAAAATCGTCTTTAGAAATTAATTTTCGAAATACATTATTCGTACCCGTCGCTTAGCGCGGGTAAACGACTAGTATATATATATATATATATATATATATATATATATATATATATATATATATATATAACTAGGTTCAGATATTCAAAGTAATTATTGTATTATTGTACTAATAAATGTAGGTCAATCATTTCAAAAGGATAAATATGTAATCTTACATTTAATTAATTATGGTAAATATATAAATCGATTAATATCCGTTTAATTTAGGAATATCAGTTTTTAAACCCAATTTCTAGTATATATATCCTCACGTCCGCCTCTTTCCTCTTCTCTTCTATTCATCGTCGGTCTCCAGTTAGGTGTCGCGAGCAGCAGCAGTGAAGAAGAAAGGCGTGTTCGGTGGGTCTGCTGAAACTGGAATTCCCGTTTCCTCTTCGCTTTCGATTAGCCCGTTTCTATTCCCCCTCTGCCCCCAGAGCTCATTATTCATATCCTACTTGGTCGTTCTCCTCGATTCGACTATATCGTCATTATCTCCAAGTCACTTGCTTCCAGGTATGTCCCATTCTCCAAAATTCCCAATTTTTAGATCTTATCTAGTTGGTATCTCGAAAAAGTTTAAACATAGAGAAAGAAGATACTTTTGCGGAAAACAATGTCATGTTTTTAATTACCTTACCTAAAAAGCAATTATGAAGGAGATATGACAAGTGAATAAAATGATAGTTACAATAGATACTATTTGTGTGTTGTACTCTTCAACTTTCTCAACATATGCTAATGTTTGAACACCAATATTGTATATTGTCTAAAAATACAAAAAAGATAAGTAAAAAATATATTCATGATGAAGTGTTTATACACACAAGATTAATCGTAAATGCATAAGATATGATAACTTTAGTAGTGATTTTGAGGAAATGTGATGGGATACCCATCATAAATTGTCGAATATCAAAATTTAATTTTTGTAGTTGAAGAGAGAAAAAGTAGTGCCATGTCATGTCAACATAAAACCCTAAGCCCCTGGTTACTTGTGGGCGAGTTGCTCTTTGATTTTTTATCATCGTTTTGGTCGATTACAGACCTTGCTATTGCAATTTGAGAAATAAGGAGCAATGATTTGAGAAATTGAAAATGATTAGTGTTAGGCAGATAAAAAATGAACCTGAACCAAGCAAGTTAAGAACGCTTTGAGAAACCATGACTTCATCTTTATGCAAATTTACTTTACCAGGAACAAACATACAAAAAGCAACGAGATATTGGTGGTCTGCAATAGGAAGACGAAGAAGATGTCATTGACAATAGCAACGAAAACGATGTCTGGTACAACGATGGTGCTTCTTGATGGAAGATTGAGGGTTTGTCAATGAATCCTTTTCAGGAAATTGAGGGACGGTGGTGGAAACTTTGAGAGAAACAATAATAGTTGGATGAAAGAAGATATATGGATTAACAGGCGGTGTATGCAAGTGTGGAGAAGGATCTCAATATCGAATGACCTACGCGTGTGAGGACAGATGACTAGGAAATCGAAACTGTTCCTAAAGGCGATGTCCTTTAAATATGTATATTAATTACCTTATTTTATATCTTCCTTGTATTCATATTATGATTTCTAATTATCTAGTTTTTATATTATGAGTTTAGACATTTAAAATAATATTAGAATAACTAATAATTATCCTATCTTTTAAATAAGGCAATAAAATCCTGAAATTCGAATTCCAGACAGTTCCCATGCCGTGGCAGAGGATTGCCCACGTCGTGGCAGCACTGAGTTACGGTTTTTTTTGTTTGTTTGTTTGCTTGCTTGTTTGTTTGTTTTTTTTTTTTCTGGTTTCATCTTCTGTGCACTATCAATAGAAAATCATGTCTCTGATAACACTATTGTGGTTTTTAGGTTACAATCAGTTTGTACATGTGAAATTTCACTCAACACTCAAGAGTATATGCAATCTAAAAGGATATATGTCTTTTCCCAATTAATAATAACATACTTATGAAACAAAATTATAAACCCTATGAATCAAATTCATGAATAGAACCACATCGAAGTAAGCCAATAAAAAACTCTTGATAACCTCCTTGAAAAACTAGCTCCAATAGTAAGACAACCTGTAATGTATCACACCCAAAACCCAAGAAACCTTACAATTGAAGGAGGGAAGAAGATGAAATTTTTTGAAATTCTCTCTGTGGAATGCTTAGGCCAAAAATCACAAGGGGTATTCCCCTTTATACAGCTACCTGATAAACCCATAAACCCTAGATTTGAACTTAAATAATAATATTTCAAATCAGTAATTATCTAGTTTTCTTTTATCAACTGGAGGCTTCTAGAAACTCTATCAAGAGCCTATAAAACCGCCCCATGTAGGAGGATTCTAGATCATCTATTTTGTTAAATTATAGAACATTTATAGCTCAACCCTTGTACATTTAATTAATTCTAATTAACCAAAAATTAATTTTGAATAATTTTTAATTAATAATTATTATTTTTAATTAATATATTGGTCATATAATATATTAATAAATCATTTATCTCTCTCACTTAATCAATCTAAGCGATTTCTTGGTTATGAGGGCAACCAAAAAAATGATTTTACTTTTATTGATCAACATTATACCAATTTAGTTAGGACCTTAGACACCTTAATTCAACACAACTATCATAGGTGGCTTTTTCCTCTTATTATTTTTTTTCATTTTCCTTTAGAAATCATATCTATGCCTTTTTTTTCTCATTTTCTTTTTCCTCACCAACGTGCACCATCATTGATGTCGTACTCATCTTCATAAGCAACAAAACGATTTGGGGATGGGGAGTTCGTGTCTATGTCGACTCAATCGTATCACACAAGATCGAATCAAGGTTTATAGACAAATGTATCTTCTTCTCCCATCTCAACACTAACACTAACCATATGTGGAGGTGACGCCGATAATGGAATTAACATAGTTTTTCTTCGTAATCATCTCCAATGTCTCCTTTCACCAACCATTTTGGCCTTGTCTTTAAGGGTTCATGGCGTCTAAAATCGAGTTCATGGCATATGTAACCGAGTTTCTTCAAATCTAGATCTTGATATGTTTTCTTCTTCAAGTTTTTTCATCTTTAGGTTTTATGTTTCGAGTTCAAGGGACGTTCGATTATATATTGATTTCAAAATTCGATTTGACTGGACAGAGCGTGCGGCAAAAAGAAAGTTTTGGGGAGTTTTTTAAAAAAATTCTCAGTTAGGTGAGGGTAAAGGTGGAAGATGGTGGTGGTGGGGAGGTAGAAGAATTTAGGATTCTTGGCATGGGTGATAATTGGTCTGCCCAGTTTCCTGATGCTCAATGGGTTAGTGAAATTGCGCCACCACCAAATTCTGGTGCCCCTGTGGTGACAGGTGTCAATGGCTGGATTGGGGCCAAGGTTCTGGTAAAGTGTGGCGATGGATAGGAGGCTGATTTTGTTCCCGTCCCTCTGAAGGTGCAGCTGTAACCGAATGGGAATGAAACGAGATCGTTCTATTGTTTTCAACTTTTCTTTTCCAAGCCTAGTTTTATGATATTTGAGAATTTTTTTAATGTTAAAAAATGAGATTAGTGTGTTTAAGGAGGACTAGAGGAAGATAAATGATGATGGTGGGAAGTGGACTGATAGAAAGTGGTGGTGTGAGATGGAAGGTGGTTGTGATAATAAGGGCGGGGGTAGGGTGGTGTGGACGGTGCTTGTAATGGTGAGGGTCGGGGTGGAAGAAATCAGAAAGTTGGGTTAAACATCAACACCACTTATGTATCTTTTGTTGACAAATATGCCATGTTGTTTGCCAAGTCACCGGTGTTACCGGTTGACCGCTTCATATATTGCAAACCGGTGTAATTGACACATAAAATGATAATTTAATGATCTATTGTGCAAAAAATAAACTTCAGTGATCAATCTGAGACATTGCCTAAACTTAATTGTACTACAATATCATTTTTCCTTAAACGATTAAATAAACATGCAAAAAAAAAAATTTAAATAAAAGTCACCGAATACACAAGATGTGGTAACGACTAACGACAACATACCTCAACATGAAAAAATCAATCAATCACCATTTTTTTTTCTTATTCTGTCTGTCTTTTTCTTAGTATGTTATTACATTTCAACACCATTTCCATAATTAATATTATAACACCGTCGGTGACATGACATGATAATGTCTTAAATGTTTGCTCACACTTAATAGTCTAAAACAAAATTAACTTATTAATATAGGGCAACGGCGTTTCAAAAGGGCTTCTAGTCCAACGGTGGTGTCCTTCCTTTTTGAGGTCGAAGGAAGTCCTGTAATGAATATAGATAAATTTAAGAGCTAATTTATGAGTATATAATATATTATATCTGCCGTTAAAAAAAAATCATTTGGTGCGCATGATAGCCTCACCCGCTAACAAGACGGAGGTCAATCGAACGTTTGCCGGCTTTCACTTTTTCCACCCTTTTTCTCTTTATTTCTAAAACCAACGTTGTCCCGCCTCCTCCACACACACTACACAGACAGAGTTTCGAAACCCTAGGAACCCAGAAACAAAGGGGATAAATAAAAGTAATCGGAGAAGAAGAAGAAGAAGCAAAAGATATGCCTCGTGAAATCATAACACTGCAAGTAGGACAATGCGGGAACCAGATCGGAATGGAGTTCTGGAAGCAGCTTTGTTTGGAACACGGTATCTCCAAGGACGGCATACTTGAAGATTTCGCTACTCAGGTCACTACTTTAACTGTATCTTTGGTTATGCTTGGTGATTTAATCAGTCTCATTTGACTCTACCTTAAGTTAGTGCGTATTATGTTGAGCAAATGTCATTTAAAAGAGCGATCCCGGTGGACCATTCGTGGAAGATGGTTCTCTTTCCCTTGCATTTCGCGAAGCGGTTGTTTCTATGGAAATTGAGCCCTCGGAATTTGTGCGAGTGTCATTGTACTACAAAATTAAGTGAAAAACGTAAGTGTGACCATTTTCTGTGTACAAACTTGCTGCAGGGAGGTGACAGGAAAGATGTGTTTTTCTATCAAGCTGATGATCAACACTACATACCGCGAGCATTGCTTATGGATTTGGAGCCTAGAGTGATTAATGGAATCCAAACCGGTGAATACAGAAATCTCTACAATCACGAGAATATATTTACCTCAAAGGAAGGAGGCGGTGCAGGAAACAATTGGGCCAGTGGATATCATCAGGTTAACAATTAATTGGTTTGTTGTGATCACATTATCTTGTATAATTCTCAAATTTCAATAATGATTCTGTGTCCTTTTTTTTCTTTTTTCTTTTGGCAGGGTAAGAATTTTGAGGAGGATTTGATGGACATGATTGACAGAGAAGCAGATGGAAGTGATAGTCTTGAAGGATTTGTTTTATGTCATTCAATTGCTGGAGGAACAGGCTCAGGTTTTGGGCTTTTACTTACTTACCTAGGGGCTAAGGGCTATGGCTGGTTTTATCTCATTCATATGAACTTGATACACAAAGAGATTAAACTTGTTATTTGTAGGTATGGGTTCATACCTTCTGGAGACTTTAAATGATCGATACAGCAAGAAACTTGTTCAGACATACAGTGTCTTCCCTAACCAAAACGAGACAAGTGATGTGGTGGTCCAGCCTTACAACTCCCTTTTGACTCTGAAACGACTCACACTAAATGCTGACTGTGTTGTTGTTCTTGATAACACTGCACTTAATAGAATTGCAGTAGAGAGACTTCATATACAAAATCCTTCTGTTTCTCAGACAAATTCTCTGGTTTCTACTGTAATGTCTGCTAGTACAACTACACTGAGGTACCCTGGTTATATGAACAATGATCTGGTTGGACTTCTTGCTTCTTTGATCCCAACACCAAGATGCCACTTTCTTATGACAGGGTATACACCACTGACAGTGGAACGCCAGGTATGTAGGATTTTCAAATACTTGTTAAAATTATTATTATTGAAATTGTTGTTATCGGCAGGCTAATATGATCCGAAAAACCACCGTATTGGATGTGATGAGAAGACTTCTTCAGGCAAGAAAACGTTAGAAGTTGTTTTAGTGAAGCTTTGATTGTGATACTCATACTCATGGGTGGTATGTTTTGCAGACAAAGAATATCATGGTTTCATCACATGCCAGGACAAAAGAAGCTAGTCAGGCAAAATATATATCCATACTGAACATCATTCAGGGGGAAGTTGACCCTACTCAGGTCAGTCATTTTTCAATCTTCAGTTACACATCCATGGATGAGTTATGAGTATGACATTTGTGATGCTTTTATTAGGTTCATGATAGTTTGCAGCGAATACGTGAAAGAAAGCTTGTTAATTTCATTGAATGGGGCCCTGCTAGCATTCAGGTATGTAATGTTTCCTGCTAAGGTATTAACCAAACCAAACCAAACCAAACCAATTCTCCTCTTTTAAATTCTGATGTTGATTTTTATGGGACAGGTTGCTCTTTCAAGAAAGTCTCCATATGTTCAAACTGCCCACAGGGTAAGATTTTTATAAATTGTTGTGGGATTTATTTATTTATGAAAAGTGGTGTGGTGTTATTATTGTTTTTCAGGTGAGTGGGCTGATGTTAGCAAGTTACACGGGAATTCGGCATCTATTCTCTAAATGTTTGAGTCAGTATTCTCTCTTAAGAAAGAGACAGGCCTTTCTTGACAAATACAGGGGTTTCCCTTTGTTTGATGTAAGTTACTCTACTCTTTTTGTTGAATGTTGATGCATTGCATACATACTTCCATTTAATTTTTTTTTTTTTTTTTTTTATAGCCTCTTACTATCGTCTCTCTACTTATTAAGGCATTGTTTGTAACTAGCAGTGAAAATTACTTTGTATTTAATGCATTATATAGTACAATGCTGTAATAGGAAGAAATGAAAGTATGTTGGTATTTCTTTTGTATTTTAACCCAACCTAACCTAACCTTTTTTGTATACTTATTGCAATCACGTGGGTATTATTCATCCAGGACAATGATCTTTCTGAATTTGATGAGTCAAGGGATGTAATCGAGAGTTTGGTTGATGAATATAAAGCATGTGAATCCCCAGATTATATAAAATGGGGCATGGAGGTATTTATTACTTTAATTTTATAATTTATTTGGTGATGAATTTCGTTGCATGTTTAATGTTTAATGTGTTGTGTTTTTCAGGATCCTGATAATCTCCTAACAGGGGAAGGAAGTGCTACAGGGACAGTAGATCCAAAGTTAGCAATGTGAAACCAACCATGAATGATTATGTAAAAAATACTTTGTTTTGCTTCTAAAAAATGATGTGTAGCATTAGCAAGCATCGCATCTTGATTCGTGTGCGAGTGCATTAAAATGGAGATTGTAAATCTTATGTGTGGGTGTGGGTGTGTGTTACATTTGACATTGTGATCTTTTAAACACTCTTCGCATGTCGATTGGCTACCTTTGACAACCATTTTTACATAAGCTTTTTAGTCCAGTATTACAACAATAAACATTTTTAGCCTTAATCTCAAATACAACAATAAAATTAATGAGAACAAGAATAATGTCATTTCATAGGTAAATTGGACCAAAACATATGAGCGGTGGATTCAGGGTATCTAAGAAACAAACAGGGGATTTTATTGGCAATTTTTTACATACAATTTGCCTTAAATAAAAAAAAAAAAGGACAATGATATCTTGATTCACGTCACATCCAAACATGGGTGCTAAATCTTGACATATCGGTGAAGATTATTTGAAGCGGATTGCATGAGTGATGAGTGGGTTAATTGGTTGGGGTTGAGCCTTGCTGCATTTGTGGTCCCAGATTATACAAGTCTTTTTATGCATGCATGCTGATGGCTGATGCTCGTCTCATGCTATTGTCCCTTTGGTCGTTGGCATCATCCATCTCATCAACTTGTCTTCTGTTTTCTACCTCTATGGAAAATTCAGATAAAGCCATTACTTTTATGGAATAATATACAATTTATCATTATTGCTTCGAACTCAACTCACATCATCATAATGCATATATTAGTTCAACTAAAAAGTTGAATGGATTAAAACCAAGGTTCTAAAAAGCTCGCCATGGCGCGCCATGACTCCAAGGCTTGCATGTGCCGCCAAGCTTTACCAAAACGCCGCCTTGACTCATATATGTGTATAAAAATGAATAATAGTAGAAAATACATATAAAAATATGAATTATACACAAAATTGCCGCCTTAAGTCACGCCTTACAAACGACGTGACTCGCCAAGGTTCGAAAAAGCTTGAGGCTTGACATTGCCGCCAAGTCACGCCTTACGTTATTTAGAACCTTGATTAAAACTCAACCATAGAGGCCAGTAGGATTTTTTTTTTTTTTTAAGTTTAAAATAAATATTTCATTGAAATTTTGTATAGTTAAATGCATTATAGGATGATAGAGCTGTAAGAAAAATTAAAATAGTGATGAAGCAATCTATTAAATTATATAGGATTTGATGCATTATCATGTCTTGATTTGTAAAAAAGTTTGTAATAAATATATTTTATTTTAGCTAAGGGTGTACAAAATCGGTCCAAAGCCAAACAATGGCTCACCGGAACATGCTATATAGAGTTGGGTTCCTGATTATCGTGTTTCCAAACACGTTTCTCAGCTCAAGGTATTGTCAAAAATATTTTTTGATTTCATTTTGGTATTTTTTTGAAGATTTTATTTCTCAAACTTGAAACTGTGTAGTTATATAATTAATTTTTTCAATAAAATATTGGATGGACATATAGGTATGGACGTATGGTACTGAATAATTGTACAATGATATATATTTTCTAATCGATTAAGTCTATTACATAAATGAAAATTAAGAACTTAGACCATCTTGGACATACTATTATTTTCTGCACCAAAATAGTATAAAGATGATGCAAATAGTGTTTTATCTTCATACAATACTTCATTTTTTAACACCAAAACGTAATTCTTGGAACGCATAGCACCAATAGAAAATAGTAGAAACTATAAAATCGAAAACTTAAACATAACAAAACCGAGCCAAACTAAACCAATCATGTATCCTTTTTAACAACAACCGAACCAATCCTGTATACTTGGTTTTTTTCCATAAAGAAATTAAATATTTTTTGATAGGATACCCGTCTGCCTTGCTTCCCATTGTATATATAATAACCACCCCTTGAGTTCCGAAATTTCTAGGGTTTTGATCTGAGTAATCTGTGTGATTCTCCTCCGATCCGTGGAGGAGATCGACTTAGTTCGGTGATTTATCTTCGTTTGGTACTTCGCATTGTTGATTTTGTTAAAACGGAGAGTAATGGCGGTGAATCGGATGCTGTTGGTTACTGCAATAGCGGCGATGTTCGCGGTGTTTGTAGGCATTGTTTGTCCAAATGTTAGAGCTCAATCGATGGCACCTGCTCCTGCTCCTTCTAGCGATGGTAAACCATTCCCTTTTCCTTCTGCTAACAAGTTTTCTGCTTAAAATTTTCTATGATATTCATTGCTGCGTTTTTTTTTTTTTTTTTTAAATCGAGTTGTATTGTTGCATTCATATGTAGATCTGATTTAACTCTGTTTTCATCATTTACGAAAAAAAAAACATTTGGTCTTGTGTGATTTTGAGCTAATTTACTTCAACCACTAACAACCTGTTTAGCTCTGTTTTCATTGTTTCTTACTTTTCAAAGTATTTGTTCAAAAATTTTGAATTAATTTTCTTCTCTGATATTCAGTGACGCTGTTTTAAATGAAATTGATGGTTGTTTGTACAAAAGATCTGATATAGGTTAGCTGTTTTTTCATTGTTTGCGAAAGCAAAATTCATTGATTTGGAGCTAATTTACCTCAACTGCAAGCAACCTGCACTAGCCCTAACACGTTGTATTTTTTATTTTTTTTTACCTCGACCTTTTTGTTATGAAGACTAGATAATTGGCAAAGCAACCAGTTAAGTGTATACAGTATACACTTTCTTTTATTCGATTTCTTGTATCCAAATTGCAACATGAACACGATTTAGAGTTACTGTAGAAAACACATTCTCTGAACAAACTTTAGCTATATACTTGAAACTTGAAAGCCATGGTGAGTGATGAAAATTGCATTTGTATGTATTGTAGGGACTTCGATTGATCAGGGAATTGCATACGCATTGATGATTGGCGCATTACTTCTAACCTACCTTATCCATCCTTTGGACGCCTTCCCGTATGGTCTCTTTTAATAATTTCCTATACATGTATTAGCTTTGAGTTTGCTTCAAATTATAATCAGAATTATTACTATGACAAATGCAATCATCTAGTTTTATTCTTGATCATTTATTGAATCTTGGTATGTGATGTTTTTATGGATTTGGTGGACCAACACACTTGGCGGAATGAATGATGAAAATTGAAAAATGCAAAACTTGAAACAGAAACCACATAACATAACTTGGGATCAAATTAAGTTAATGTTGATTTCATTTGGCTATTGTGATTTTTATGTCTATGCAAAGTCCACATTCATAAATTTTTGATGACATTGACGTGTACAGGTCTTCATGTGTATTTTTGTTTAATTATAGCGTAACTTCAAATGTTAATTTCTTATTCGTTTTTAATTATGAATTAAAGAAGCTAAATCTCTTTTATTTTTATTATAATTAAAAATTCCTTTTCTTTATATTTTATCGAGCTTAACTTTAAAGAAGTTAAAACTTAACAAAATGTCTACATGCCACGGTGATTAAAGTCTGCTAGTATGGAGGGAGGCTTCAAATCTGGTTCCAGGTAAATAAAACCAAAAATCGTTGTATAGTGACAATAATAAGATAAGTTTTAAAAAGAAATTGGTGATATTTAGTTGTTATTCCATCACATCAACGATACAAACATGGCATCAAGTTTGTAAAGGCTGTGAACCAGGTGAAGAATATTATCCATTTAGAAATATACTATGAATCTGTCATCAACATATATTTACATATACTTAAACAAATAAGCAATCAATGAATCAAGGATTCTAGATTACTAAAATCAATCATACGGAAGAGTTTGTGGGTCATATTTTCATGATTTAGAGTTGTAGTAATTCTAGTCTTTGGGCATTTCCAAATGATATTGATGGCAATGTGTTGTGGTATTCTAGTGTTGTGTTTTGTAGCCGTGTAGAAGATACTTGACAACTTCATAAATCCCAACAGAAGGACCTGTGCGTCCAACACGAGGGAGGACCAACTCCTGTGAAAAGTCCCTTCATTCCTCCATCCCTGTTCCATAAAATCAACCTTCTAAGTTGTAATCAACAAAACCAAAACTAAAAAACATCCATACCTCCATATTTCCACCAGTGTCTGTCTTGTTGTCATCCTCAATGCTCGGACTGTATCCTTCTGAAAATGTCAATTGAACAACTACACCATTAGTATTACCAACAAAAATAATCGCTAGATATACACATCCAACTTACAACATCCCAACATGTTTTTTTTTTAATGCATGCATAACATAAAATACAAAGATATATATATATATATATATATATATATATATATATATATATATATATATATATATATATATATATATAGTATACCTCTATTTGACGGCGAGTCTTTGCAACGTCTAACGGACATGTTGAGGCACCCGCAACGCATCCAGCAGCAAAGTTTGCACCAACAACAACACTGACACCACAAGTTTCATGCCCCCCCCACATTCCTAGTATCCGCCTCCTCACCTGCACAAACACAAAGGAAGCTTTAAGGTTTTAAATCACCCATATGAAAAAAAAACAAAAAACTCTTACGTTTTACAAGTCTTACTTACTGGTTCCAGGGTAACCCAGCAAACCGCAGAAAATGGAACATCACGAGATAGTTGTGCCCCAAGACCCGTCCATAAGAATCGAAAGCTACGAAATGCTAAATATAATTTATTCAAATCCCAAAATAAATTCAGGTCAAATTTTCAATACATAAAAAGAGACACAAGTAACTCACAGCTGCTATTATTATTAAGGTTCTTCGTGGTGTTTGTGTCTGCAGAAACAACCCCAACTGGCGTCTTCCACACTCCAGGAAGCTTTGTTCCATGTTGGCCATCTTTAAATGCCTGTTATAAATAAAACAATGGATACAGGTTTTGAAGATAAAAGAATAAAACATTACATTTACACATACTCATGTTACTAGTTATATTACCTGCATACGAGTTCTTGCAAGTTCAACAGGGTAACAAGTAACACAAGCCAATGAACGGGCAACAGACCCTGCAACTAAGGGGACATAAGGTGTCACGCTTGGAGCATTTTGTGATGTATATGCTTCCATATAGTTTCTCAATATATCATAACAATGCATGTAGATACCCACCTAATATTAATAACAACCTTACAATTATACAAAAACTCTAAAACAATCATTCTTTCACAAAAAACACTTATTACCGTGGGTACTGCCAATGCTAAACTTGCGTTTGTGCCTCTCCAAAGTCGGGAAAATCCTTCCTCATGAATAACTTTCTGGAACACATCTAGAGTGCCTTTATACTTCTGATAACCAGATTAACACCGATTAAATACAAAATTAGACACTTTGAGTACGCAAAAAAGTTTGATCAGGGCGAAGACGAAGGTTTAATGTACTGTGTTTGGTTCAAAGCGACATGTGGAGTGGAGATTCTGATATGGAACACTAGCAGCCTGAGCTTGCAATCTAGTCTGCATAATCAGGCAATACACGAAGCCAATTGATTCGCCCGATCAAATGAGGGAATCCAATACAATTGACATGCGAGATCCACAACCAGAGTATATTTAGAAGTCGAGAATGAAATTGGAACTAACATGTGTAAGGAAAATAATCGAGGGAGAAGAGTACCTTTGCGACATCGAGAGGATTTACTATAACTGCAGATAGAAAAGCGGCTCCAGCTGCGGCAAACGCCCTTTCTGATACACTCAAATTGAAGTCAGGCGACGAAGACGTTGTCTGATTCGATTGAAATGAAGAAGAATATTGATTGGGCATATCTGCTAAAAGTTTTTCACCTAATTCAACTTCAAATGCTCTGATGTTATGCCTTTGAATAGCTACCACATTCCTTCAATCGCTTCTTTCGTTCAAATGAATGGAGATGAAGTGTTTGGGAAATTGTGGTGCTGTTGAACTGTTTCCATGGTGAAGACGGTGTTGAATGACAGAGAACGTGATTCGTAGCGTGGAACAAAAGCCACCAACATCGTATGTATCACTGTTAACACACATTATTAAAAATAAATAAACAAATAAATAAATAAAATAAAATAAAATAAAAAATCCTTACGGTATATAATTTTTTCGAAAAATATCCGAATTATAAAAGTTTAGGGTTGGTGATTTTATGTTTTTGATCCCTTTTCTGATTGAAAATAATATACCTTTAGTATATTTATTTTTTATTTTTCTTATATATTTTTTAGTATTAGTAAATATTCATAGGGCACACATACCACACTCACACTCTCTCTCTCTCTCTCTCTCAAATCTGAAAAGCATAGAAAAATGTTCAACCCAACCCCATCCCTCATCGTCTGCATTCCTCTACATCTCTATTTTTTCCCAACAACACCACAACCACCACCGATTATCACATGTGCTCTCCTGTATTCTACACCTATCACCTCCAACTTCTCTTTATATGTGTTTCTCTGACATGAATGAAGTATTAATGGAGTGGTATATGCTTTAAGAACGAGGACCAACTCTATTATTTCTTGGAAGTCTAGAATTTGCTCATTTCTTGGATCAACCTACATTGGCACTTTCTTATCCTCCCTTGATTTCCTCTCAACTTAGAATTAAATCAAATCCATGTAAACCCTCAAAGTTTATTTATTTATTTATTTATAAAGATGATGAAATATGAAACAAATTGAAGAAGGTTTTGACGGAATGATGATCATGTTATGTTTTTTTTACCTGATACCCAATTGGAGATTGAGCATCTCAACCTAATCCCATGCCGCCCCTGTACAACATTGAAGCTTCGAAACTATCTATTGTGTCACAAGTGATATCCCCTACTTCATCTAACAATGGCACATAGAGCTAGTGGGTTATTCTACAACCAAAAATGAAGAACACTCGGTATTGACGAAATCAGAACAAAAAATGAAGAACAAAAGAATGATGGATGAACCCTAAAAATTCAACACCAAAATGAACATATTCATCCTTTATACAAAAATCGATCGAAGATAATAAAGTTATGAGTTCAATCCATTCTACTAGAGGAATAATTACATATGTCTATTACTGAAAATAACAATGAAGATGCATGCAAATGAAGAACATAAGAACTAAGAACATGAGCGAACAAGAATAGTCTCTATCCCTAATATTAAATTTGGCAACAAAAGGGAGAGAGAGAGAGAGAGAGAGAGAGAGAGAGAGAGAGAGAGAGAGAGAGAGAGAGAGAGAGAGGTGGGCTCATATTTATTATTAATAAAACTTTAAATTAAATAGAAAAAATATAAAAATAGTATCAGGATGACATTTTAGTCTTTTTAGTTTTCCGAAGGGCCAAAATGTGACATCCCCTATTTTTCAGAACTGAAAAAAAAAACTTTTCTTTACGCTATATAATCTATGTTATCTTTGTTTGCGGGAAATCCCAGTATATTAAAACATTTTGCGAAAGTTGTCCTATTTTATTAAAATATCTTGAATGCATATGTTGTTTCAAAAAAAAAAAAACCGCTAAGGATGTCATAATCAATATACAAATAAGTTACAATGTAAAGACATAACGATCTTGAATACTATTACATGTTGTCTCTTAATCACCTGACATCCTAATCAAGTTCCAGTAGCTTTAGTCCTAATACTTGTAATGCATATACTTTGAGTGGGTCAGGTTTGAAAATACCTGGTGAGACACATAGGGTTTTCAATCCCATAATAGTTTTATGATAATAAATCATATATATTAACCCTGCCAAACCAAATGTTACCAAACAATATAGATATATAATCTAACGAAGATATCTATAAAACAACTATAAAACACTACACCCTTACACACCCCAGCCTAATCGATTCCCATAAATCCTAATCTACGATCGTCTGGAAGAATCACTTAACTTGATGAATCGTTTAGAATAATCACAAGACTACACAACTAGGGGATTCCTTGGTTGGTGTAAGTCATATAAGAAAATCAAGCCATCAAAGTATTTCATAAATATGATATACCATTTCATATATGCGTGTTAGTTATAAGTCCACACTAGCAACGTAATTCACAAGATTGTCTAGAATGATCAAGTGTTGTCATTTTACTTTAGTAGATGATCAGACATACCCTCCAGTTGTCTGATACATGACCATTATTTCTGGCTGTCTAGAAATAGGAGGACTACTACACTCTGCTTTAATCTCACATCTTACCCCATAATTAGACTACCCAATATCCAACTTATTTTAACTAAGCATGTAACGCGTTTCTCACTAGGCATAATTATAAAAGATGTATTTCTTTGATCGACAATTGTAATCTTTTATGAATAAATGAAAGAGAATTTATTTGAATGTATGTGTTTATATATTATGTACGTGGAAATTTGATAAATATTATTTGTATATAATATTTATGTAAAAACGTATTTTTAAAAGTTAATAAATAAGGAAAAAATAAACATTAAAAATAAAATTTTATTTAGGATAAATAGTCTTGATGAAAATTGTAGTAGTCGTGATGACGATCTTAGGGATATAAGGAAAGCTTAAATCTAACTTCCTATGAAGAAGTTACGACACCTCTAAGTTTCGTGTTTAGCACCATACGACAGAGTGTATCGTAAAAAGTGTATCAAATATAGGTTGCTTATTAGCCTAAGTAATCTAAACGAAAGTCATAGTAATCATAAAATCGAAAGCGTGCATATAGAGAATGCCCAAATGTGTCTACGTATGAGTGAGTTATGATTTTTCAAAGTTTCAACGCAACAATGTGGACACTGAAATCGAAATTAAAATCGGTTGATTGTTAGCCAAAACAGTGTAACGTGTAACACCCAGTTCCAGGTAAGCACCATTTTGGAATTTCTGATTTAATTCTCAAGTTTAAACCCTTCTCATGACGTGAGCACTTAATTGTCACGACGTGAGCCCAGATGGAAGAATCGTACATGACTTCGAGTCTTATGATGTGAGCCCTTATGGGTCACGACGTGAGAACTGACTGTGAGGCAAACTCTAGTTTTTGGGGTTTTCCTGTATTTAAAGGAAGTGAGGGCTAGAGTTAGCCCACCCTTAGCCTCCATCACCTCTTAATACCCCCATTTGAACCTTAGCACCCCATAGTTGATCTTTAGCTCTTTTGTGGTGAATTATAGCAAATAAGAGGAAGAAAGAGAGCATCTAGTCCATCATCTCAACATCCAAGCCTCACCATCATTCATCTTCACACCTTCTGAACTTTTGTAAGTTTCCAAGTTCAATGATTTATGAGTCTATAAGCTTAGATATAGGTTTTTATGCTTTATCTTTCATGTATAGAATGATGTAGTGATTGGAATCCATAAAATTTTCAACTTTATCGATCTCCAGTGTCCCTTTGGTAATATAAGTGTTGTATTTGAAGTATGGTTGAGTTTTAGGACTCTTGCATGAGCTTCTAATGTCATTTCTTCCTTTGTGTGCCCTAGCTTGTGTTTGGGACATGCATTGGATATGCATGTCCAAAAAGCCACGATTTTTATGATGTTCTAGAGTAGATAAGACATTCTGGAATTTTTGGTTGCATATCTTAAGGGATTAAGAGCTTTGTTCGGAAAATCTGTCCAGAGCGTTTCTCACGTTGTGAGCACTTGAGTGTCACGACGTGAGAATGATGATTCTCGAATATTTTGTTCTATTAGGTCACAACATGAGCAATATATGGTCACGACATGACGAGTGGCTGGGTGACTTTTGAGTAAGGATTTTTGACCATTGACCATTGACTGTTGACTTTGTGTAACATTCAGGTTTTAGTAAGTTCATCTTTTAGCCCTAATGCAAAATTCTTTCAAATTGGTCCCTTGGTTAGTATGTAGGGCGTACTCAATGGGTATGCTTAGCGTACTAGCCATATATCCGGTCGTGGGACTTAACCACGTATGCGGGGATTACGTGGAGTATGCATGGTGTATGTGAGTCTGAGAAAAACCCTAGTTTTTATGGTTTGCACCCTATTTATGGACCTTACGTCCCCCAATCCCTTTACCTTTTTCAACCTCAATTTCCCTTGTTGTGCTAATCCCGAACCCTAAGCCACCTTGAGTGCATTTGTGAGATTTCTTGAGAGTTTTTGGTGTTCTTTTGAGTATTTGAAGAAGAAGGAATCTTGGGAAGAAGCAAGGACGTGGGGAGAGCTTGTAGATCCAGAAGTTAGGCACCATTTCCTGCAAATTGAAGGTATAAAGCTTAAAACTTGAACACTACAAGCTTAGATTTAGGTTTAGGGTAGAAAATGGTATCTTTTGGTCCCATAGTTTGGAATTTTGGAGTATGAGCAACTTCAGACCATATGATCCGTCCTTTTGGACTCTTGAAGGTGTTTTGAGCCATAAATATCATATCTTGATGGTTAAGCCACAACCATGCAAGTGTTTGGAACCATCCAAGTGTGCTTATGGACTTGATTCATGATTTGGTCCCCATCCTTGCATGCAAAAGCATAAAGTTTGCAACTTTATGGCTTAAGACGTTATTTGGGGACTGGATATAAGTTTTAGACGTTAGGTCTTAATGGATTAAGACATGGATGTGATTATGGGTTGGCATAACAGTACGCCATGTGTACTCCAGTGTACACCGCTCGTACTGGTTCAGCACCTCGACCCCTGGTCAACACCAGTGTACGTTGGGCGTATATGCCAAGTACGTCGTGCGTACACAGTCAGTGGGCCTAGAAGGTTTTTGGGATCATTTGGTGTTGGGTTTTGGACTTGAGTAAGTTGGGCCTCGGGCCCACCTGTTTGTAGCAGGTCATTTTGGGGCCTTAGGCCAAGTTAGGTGTTCTTGGGACTTAAAGACCCCATTGTAGGCTTGGATGTCTTTCTGGATTTTTGTGGAATTGGACCTTGGAAGAAAGGAAGCCCAATAAGTCAAAGGTAAAGGAGCCCTTTTGGCCTTAAGTCAAGAATTAGGGTTTTGGACTTTCGGGTTAGAATGTGACCTAATTTCTAATTAGGGTTTTATGTTTGTGCGATAGGGTGAGGAGTTCGCGAGTCACCCGTTGAGTGTGATTTGATACCCACAGTCTGAGGTGAGTCTTCCTTCGCAGTATCTGTGGGTTGAAGGCACCAAGGTCGGCCCTAGTTTATGTTGTAGTATGAAGATTGTCTTTATGACAGTTTTCAGTTATGTCTATATTTGCTTGATGACTCTATGATTTATGTTATGATATTATGTGGTAGTAGTAGGGGTGAAATAGACCCGGTATTCGGTTGAAATATTCCGAAGAGGATTGCAAGCACCCAGATATACTTGATAGTATCGGTTGAGATAGACCGAAGGGGTAAGCAAGCACCTAGATATGCTTGGCAGTATCTGGTTGAAATAGACCGAAGGGGCAGGCCAACACCCAAATATGCTTGGAAGTATGTTTGTTTAGTATGTGGTATTTTGGGGGAACTCACTAAGCTTTGTGCTTACAGTTTTCAGTTTATGTTACAGGCACTTCCAGTTCGAGGGGGAAGGGTCCGGCTCGATCGCACCACATCACTCTATATTTTTCCGCACTTAGTGATTTTGGGAATTGTACTCTAATAACATGATACAATTATACTCTTTTGACTATTTGGATATCAGTTTCTTATGAACTGAATGGATTTAAAAACAAAAATTTTATTTAGATTTTGGGATGTTACAAGTTGGTATTAGAGTCATGGTTTGAGAGATTCGGACATACTCTCGGATGTACCTGGAATCAAATCGAGGGCTTGGTAGATTTTTCACA